AAAAGTGAAAAGCAAAAATCAAAACAAAACGAAAACCTTGAAGAAAGACTTTGGGAAGCTCCCAGCACACTGAAATGGTGTGTGGAGACAGGTGACACTGAGTGACATAAACACTGTTCAGTGAGTGCAGTTGATGCAAGATCACAGTATGTCTAGTTGGTTTATTGATGTTTTGTTAGTACTGGGGGTTGAACCCAGGGCTTCTAGCAAGCTGCTCAAGGCTCTAAAACTCAGCTCTAGGCCCAGCTATCTGTTTACTTTATTGAAAGAGGGCTGCCCTCAAGTTTTGATACGTTCAGACACACAAAAACATGGGCGACACAGAGAGTAAGGCTAGAGCCACTGAGACACAACATGGTGGATTAGTGATCGCTTAGGCAGTGGACTGTGGAATACCTGGGATTTGAGGAGAAGTTCTGTATTCCTTAGAAATCAGCATCTAGACGGTTCTTGACTATGGCTCCTTGTATAGCTACTAGCAGACTTAAAAGAAGGGAAATGAAGCGCTTTATCCACCGAGCCATCTCCCAGCCCAATAAAATGTTATACATACCATGATGGTAAAGATAGTCACTACAGAATGGAGTAATCTAAAGTTACCTAAACCCTTCACAAAGACTTCCACATTTTGTCATACAGATGTTCAAACTGCATTTTCTCTTTCTCAAAGTGGTGTGTATAGTATTGCCTTCAGCCTCATGCTAATATTCCACTTTCTGTTGTAAACAGAATTGTTAGAGTTTCCATTATCTAGCACAAAAGGCTTTCAATGATGTTGAAACGGATGGGAGAAGGTAGATCGACTCTTGTTCATATTTAATGGCTGGATGTGCCTTCTGACTGGAATGCAGTAATGATCAGCCCATAAGTAATTCATTCTGCAACAGTTTCCCTGGAGTTAAGAGAGACACAGGCCTTCTTAGACCTTCTGCTAAGAAAGATGCCATTCATTCATTCACCCGCCTCAGTGAGCTCAGCCACGAGGTAATCCTTTACCCTCCCCTCTATCCCTAAGACACAGGCTGGTTAGAAATGCCATAGCTGCCATCCAAATGTTGTGTGTAGGGCAAAACAGTGGGTGAATTTAGTCATAAATGATCTGGGAAGGTCTCTATTGACAAGCTACCATGTGCTGTTTGCATTAGCGAATATGAGCTGAAGGGAGCTGCTCTTTCCTGGGTCCCCTGGGGCTCAGAGTGGGGAGATAGCAGACAATGCTCTAGTTTACTTAAAGCATTGATAACACCTCTAAATAATTAACTGAGGACTTCCTGTCTTCAATTACTTAATGCTTTTTTTTAACATCTTGAGAGGATTATAAGCAATTTATGGGTTTCACGTGATGAGGGCCTTTGCCACTATTCCCACAAAGCATTTACGGGATCATGTTTCGGAGGCTTTGCGGTAATTAAAAGTAAGCATGGAGACAACAAGGCTGTGGCAAGGTGCTGGCAGTCCCTCCTGCCATCCCTAGGACCACTATGCCTCAGGCTCCAGGAAGCCTAGTGCTACAACTTCATTAGGGCACCATTGCTTAAGGAATACCAGGGTTTAGAAATGAAGACAAATCTAAACATTCATTTCTCGCATCTCAGGCAGCCAACCAGCAAACATCCAAGGTAGCTGGGGAAGCAAATTCCACTATTTCTCTTCATTCTAATGACTCAGTAAAACATCATTACATCATAACTGCTTCTGTTCTGCATCTCGTCAGTCAGCTGAGCCTGGACCTGGTGTTCCCTGGCAGAGATCCTGGGTTTTGAGATTTTCCTGCCTAGCAGCGCTACTGGTCCACGGGAGCTGCGAGCAGCAAGCTTTGAACTCCTCCTCTTAGGGCTCTATTGCCCATGTGAAATTTAAAACAGATGCATGGACCATATGACTTTGGAGACCATCACCACAACCCACAACTGGTCAAAATGCGGAGCACAGCTGACTGCGAGTGTGCAACCCCGGTAGCTACATTGCAGTACAAGCCCTACACACGATATCAGGGAATGTTGCGGAAGTGGGACAGAGGGACTGTCAGAGCTAAATGACAAGAATGTCTGCTGCGAGACAGTGTCTTCCACACTGACAGAGACCCAGCACCTATACAGTCCCAGTAACAGGGTCAGCTGAGCAAGACGGGCACAGCGAAAGCACCAGCTGACCACTCACTGACTGTAGATGGGGAACATTACAAGGCCCCAGCCCTAGATGAAGCGCTGCAGGCAATTAATGGCTAGTAAGAGAGAGAAGCAGCTTTCCCGAGGGAGGACCCTCCTGATCGGTTACCGAGTGGTCAGCCCCAAACACATGCGTATCTGAGCAACGGTAAGTGAATTCAGCCGGGCTGTATTAGGGCTGTATTAATATACACATGTGCATACACTCATGTGTAAGAGTAATAAAGAGAAATATGGGAGGCGGTTGGGGGACATGGGAGGAGTTGGAGGGGACAGAGAGTGAGGTATAAAAGATGTAAATGTAGCATCCATGTAGGAAAATCTCAGAAACTAATTAAAGAGATATTAAAAATGACTTCTAAAGAATTATTTTCACTTTATGATTTTTGTAAAAGTTTAACCTATAAAAAGAAAAAAAAAGCTTTAAAATACTGACTCTAATGCAAGGACCTCTGGCACCAATGTGTGTACAAATTCCTCTCCGACATGAAAATATTGATTAAGAATGACAATGACAGGAAGAATCAGCAGAGCGAAGGGATTGAAAGAAAGAACTTTGCAATTATTTTATAATTAATGAGGCCATCCATCCTGTGGGTTTGTACATTATAATTGAATTTGGTTTGCTGACATCTCAAAGCCGGTCTCTGATGCAAACCAGTTCAGTGGGCGACAATTCAAAGCGAGGCTGCTGAGGAGGACAGATGTAACTGGGACACGGTTCTGCAGCTTTGTCTCTTGGTTTATTGTGAAGCCAGTGTGAGCTGGTCCATGGGTTCAGGTGGCTTTTCTGACCTTTAGAACTTAAGTCGCATTCAGTTACAACACCCTGATCCTCTTCATCGGCAGCCCTGCTCCCTGTGCTGGCCTGGCACCGGCGGCCTTTTGCTCGTCAGCCTCCCCTACAGAATCATCTTAGAGGGCACAGTGCTAATGAACTGATTTAGTAACTGTTCTCTGTGAGAAGTGTGTGAGTGTGCGCGTGTGTGTGTGCGCAGCTGGCCAGTGCCTTTGTTTGTAGAGGTCAGAGGTCAAGATCAAGCATCTATTTTTTGAGACGGGATCTCTCGCTGAACCTGGTGCTGACTGATTTGGCTCCCCTGGCTGGTCAGTGAGCTCCAGGAATCCTCCTGTCTCCACCACGCCATCGCCTTCAGCACTCCACCCCCCCCCCCCCCGTGTTAGGGTTACAGATGTGTAACACCTCAGCAAATGGCTGTTTTCTTTTTAACATAAACACTTGCTCAGCAGGCATTCACTGCATCCTCTGAGCCATCTCCCCAGCCCTCACAATCTTAGTTTTAGAAGTTTTATGTATTCTTAAGACCGTAGCCATTGGTAGCAGTGGCTACCATCTATCTGTGCATGAATACATGTATGTATATATTTAAATATATGTGTGTGTGTGCATGTATATATATGTACACATACACACACAACTGCCATGGCTCATGATCTCCAGATGGGGAGTAAGAGGTGCAGGGGTGCAAGCACACACTAAGTGTCTTCCTAGGACTTACGGGACCTCTGGAAGAACACTGGGGATCCTGTCAATCGCTGCTTGCTTCGACGGCAGAAAATCATGGAACTTACGAATGAAGTGCCACGGAGTTGCTTTTCTACCTGTGCGGCATCCATTTTGACTCCTGAAGAATCAGACATAACTTTTCTGTAAATTTTGTTATCTGTTTGACTAATGCTCTTTGAAGGCCCAGAGCCCAGTGGAAGCAGGTCAACGCTTTGTGAAGTCTTAGAAAGAAGAGGAGACATAGTGACAATTTGGAGAACCCTGGTCTCAGGATCTAGACTTCCAGGTGTGTTTGGAATGACTCCGTGAATCCCAGTAACGAACTAAATACCTTTGTCTCCAAAAGCATCTTTTTCTTTTTCTTTTTCTTTTTCCCAATAAAGCAGAGCTGAGAGTCATCCCTGTGCTCTTAGGTTTGAGATGAGAATTGAATTAGTGCGTCCCAGTGTTTAGATAGTGTTTGCTATCTGTTCCTCCCCCAATTCGCTCAGCTCCCGTTGGCCTGCCAAGCAAGAGTTCAGCTATCAGCAGTGCAGCCCTGAGCCGGCAGGTCAGGCCTCTGCTCTCCTGCAGCCTGCTTTTGCTTGTGAGGGAGGCAAAAGAAAACTAAAAGAGACAAAATCCAAGTATTAAATTACTAGGTAGTGTGATTAAAGAATATGATTAAAAACAAGGCGATAAGAAAACACGTTTTTCTCTTCAAATGAAATACTCAGGTTTCCACGCTAATTATTATTATGATCACTATGAGGGTTGAGCTAACATTCTGCCCCTGCACTACACTATTGCAATAAAAATGGCAACATCATACGTGATCAAAATAATACAATCACTATTAATTATAGCAGAAATAATAGCACCAAGAAATTCCAAGCAGGGGACTGTCAAGGAGGGAGTATTAGAAATTCACTCTGGAGCCTGCTCTCAGCATCTCCATACTTTTCTCCTGCTTCCCAACCCTCACTTGGCTGTCCTCGCCTCATTATCTGCGAATAGATCCTTGGGGAATGAAAATGCATCGCACTGTTTGTTTGGAAAAAAAAAAAAGTTAATACGGACACAAGTCCCCTCCTCACACACTGCGTATCAAAGCCAAATATAAATTATTCTTGAAGTTCTCTGCCGCCGTGGCTTACTGCTGCCACCGTGGGCTCTTTGATTAGCATGGATAAGCGGGACCTGACCATATGTCAAGAGAACGTGTCCTTTCCAAGTGACCTCATATATCAAACACACGCCCCTGGGAGGCTCGCTCCGGCCCACCGCAATGACAAGTCTCCTCCGGTAGATTTCCGTTTCGTCACCTGTGACCGTATGCTGCCTCCTGTCACTCGTGTCAGTGTAGATGAGCCCTCTCCCATCCAGCCAGAGCTGGTACTCTTTAATGACAGCTCTCATTTTCTCGGGGACGCTCCAGCTGAGGTGCAGGGACTCTGAGCTGCGGGCTGTGATGTTTGGTGGTGAGACCCTCTCCAGGACGCCTGGGGTGGCAGCAGCGACTACCTGTGAGCATGGAAATTAAACAGCAATTTATTGTCATTGTCCACTAGGAATCCTGATCAATGAAGGTGTCGCTTTTGTTTTAGAGCCTTGCTGTCTGGCGTGGCATCTCATTAGCAAAGGCTGGGAGAAGCAGTTCCCCGCTTTTCATTCTTTGCCTCTCATCCTATTTAAACAATGAAATCTGACCTTGAATACATTATGTAAGTCCCCAACTACTATTTATCACAACAGGTCCCGACAACAGTTTTGAAGGCAGAGTGCGGCCCTCAGTTTAAACAAGTGCAACCTGCCTGGCAGACTGTCTTTCTGGAGAACTCTCTTCCATATGGCCCACCAGTGTCTTTGCATTTTAACAGCCTGATTTTGTGAAGTTAAGTGTCAGTAAATGTGGAGCAAAAGCCATGCCTGGACTTGCTGGCACGGAGTGTGCTTTAGGCAGCACAGGAGCAGGGGCCCCTGTATTCTTCCCAAGACGTCTGTATACTATCTTGGTGTCTCTAGAAAGAGAACCGAGTGAGAAGAAAAATCAGCCAGTTACTGAGTCAACGGTGTCAAAATACGCTTCTGCATAAAAACTTGCTGTTGGGGACATGCTTTTCCCACAGGATAAATCTGATTCCTGGTTTAACGGTTGTTCTGCCATCTGGTAGGCCCAGGCCCTGCTATGTATAACATATAGAATTGTTCAAGGACGGTCGGGACCATAACTTTTCTTTCCTTTTTTTAATTATTATCATTTATTATAATTTATTTAATTTGTATCCTGGTTATGGCCCCTCCCTCGTCTCCTCCCAATTCCACTCTTCCTCCCTCCCTAGACCCTCTGCTCAGATGTAGCCCATGGTAGCTCAGTCTCCAAGTGGGTTCCCTGATAAGGGGAACAGGGGCTGTCGCTGGCATGAAGTCAGTGGCAGGCTCTCTGATCACCTCCCCCCCGATGGGGTACAGCCTTGCCAGGCCACAGAGGAAGACTGTGCAACCAGTCCTGAAGAGACGGGTTAGGCTAGGGTCAGATGGAAGGGGAGGAGGTCCTCCCTATCAGGGAACCCTAACTTCTGATTGAGCCTGCCTGTCTGCCATGGTGGCAGACTCAGTGGAGGGCAGGAGGCTCTGCTGAACACGTGTCCCAGCGAATGGTGCTGACAAGCCGCACTCAGCGTGTTGCGTGGTTCTTGTAAGCGTGTGCAGACCCCAGCCTTCTGGAGCTTTAACCAGAGGAAGAGCATCAGAGCCATTCCGGATGCCAGCGTGTCTCCCAGGCTCCTCCCCAGAAAGCTGGCTTCTTGGAAATGACAGGTGATTAGTTTTCCTCTCTAACTCTTTGTTTCCCCCCAGTCTCCTTTGAGGGGTTTTCTTTCTTCTCCATTCCGAGGCCTTCTCTGTCCCTAGTCGCCAGGCATTCTGCTTTTGTTTCTCTCCCATGCCTTTGATGATCACATCTAAACATTCTGCCTTCACTTCTTACATAGATCTTCCTAGCAAGACCAGCTCCCGGTCTAGCGTTGAACTAGACTTTTTTTTTTTTTTTTTTCATTTAAAATATCTGCTTCTTCCACCCTGCTATCTGCCTTTTCTCTTTAAATAGTTTTGAGAAGTTTGAAGATAATCCTAGTGTTTTAACATTTTTGTTTCTGCTTGTACCACAGCAACACCACCTACAAGTAGCTAAGGCCACAAACCTTAAAAATCCATGTAACACTTTTTTCTTCTCTGGTGGTCCAACCTTTTGGCATTGTGACATAACACTACCAAATTTATGCCTCAGAACCACAGAATCAAATTGAAAACAAATTGCCAAAATACCCTCGCAATGTTTTAAGTAGTTTCTGTTGGGGCTCAGTTATAGCAATTCCATGTTTATGTGCATGGGCTGCATATTCTATACACAGTTGACATCAAATTCTCCATATTCTATCACCTGCATTCTGTTGTGACTTGGCCATTTGCTTGTTTTATTTTTATTTTTATTTTTTTGAGATGGTATTTTGTAGCTGGCCTCAAACATACTTTACCTGAAAATGACCTTGAACTCCCGATTCTCCTGAGAATGCCGAGACTGCAGTACACCCCTGGTTTATGCAGTGCTGGGGACTGAACTCAGGGCTTTGTGCACAGTGCAAGCCCTCTTCCAACTGAGCTATACTCCCAGCCTCCATTCTAACCCCAGTGCCTCATCCAGGCCGTTGTCAGCCCTTGGCAAGGCTGCTCTGTTCATGAAGTGTTAAGGTCACTTATTTGTATGGCAGGCTCATCCACTTCCGTTTTTTTTTTTTTTTTTTTTTTTTGAAGTGCGGGCAAATTTGATGACATAATAAGTAATTTTGACATTTTATGGCTTTGTAGACTACTACTGTCCTAGTCCATTTCTGCCGCTATAACAGAGTACCTATGACTGAGAAGCATCTAAAGAGGTTTCTATTTTTGCTTCAACATTCTGGAACCCAAGAAGTGTAAGATTGGATGGCTGCACACTGGCCTGGGCACGCTGTTGGAAAACAGAGAGTACATGGGCTTGTGTAAAAGCCATAGAATGCGAGAGGTGGCCTCAGAGTATCTGCATCACGTGGCTCATCTGGTCCTGTGAGCATGATAACACATTTCCCCCTGAGGAAGGACAGTGTTTAATCCCACGCCAGTGTGGACCTACTGTGACCAAGCATCTCTCAAATAAGCTACCTCTTGGCTTCTTTCAAAGATTGGAATGGGTTTCCCCCTCACCCCCAAATTACTTCCGATTCCAGATGAACTTCATGTGCTTAGAATTTAAAGGCTTGGCACTAACACAAACATTTATTGAGCATTAACTGCTTTCTTTCATAGACACCAGCCCTCATCACGAGACTGGCTGGGGGAATATCACAGCAAACCACAGTGGCTACCCAGAAATCACCAGTGGGAGAAGGGCGCGAGAGACTCCCTGACACTGGCTTAGGGTTTCTGCTCTTAATAAAACACTGTATATGGTTAAATCTCTGTGCAAATCTCCCCTTTCAGACGTGAGCATCAACATCCCATGACGGAGGCACACAGTCTCTCCAGTGGCACTTTGAGGAAGACACGGTTTTCTGGCGTTGGAGAAATCATTCCAGGATGTTCACACAGCCCTCACTCTGGACCCTTCTCCCCACAATTGGGCAAGTTCTTCTCACCTTGCCACTGACAGCACACCCAGCGGCTGTGCAAGCTTTCAGCTGGTACGTGTATTCCTGGAGTGGCTCAATCTCCTGTGCGTCTGTGAAACTCAGCGCTGTTCCCCGGAAGTGCTCCCTTCCATCGCGAAGAAGGATGTAGTAAATAATACGACCTGGAAGGCAGAAAAACGCTGCTGTGTGTCATGCCACCCGAACTATTTTCAAACAACATGCATGTCCCAGAACTTTCCCAGCCACAGGTATTGATGTGCATGCATTTGTGTCTGTGTAGCTATCCCTGCATGTGTGTGGGGGTCAGAGGACAACCTGGTAGAGTCATTTCTCTCCTTCTGCCACACAGGTTCCAGAGATCACACTCAACAGTCAGTCATGGTGGAGCGTGTCTTCTAACTACAGAGCGACCTCACCGTTCCCGTCACAGAATCTTTAAAGAAACAGGATCATGTAGCATTTTAAAACATGCTTTTTGTTCAAGTAGTTCTCAATTATACTACCAGAGGGAAGACGGACTCAGAAAAGTGTTATTTATGTTTATCTCTGCTCCTGACTAAAAGGATTTGCCTTCAAGACAGGACAATTTTGACTTCAACTATACTCTGCTTACTTGAAAGCAGCTCTGGCCTATGCGATGATTTGGGAGTTTTGAATGCTTATTTTTAGCATTATTATTTATTTTGGCTTAAAAAGATGAGCAATGAGCTGACACGAGGGTTTTCCTTTTATATGTGAACATTTCCCACTGAGTAGATAACCAAGTATATAGTACACCTTTTTCCAAACTGTAGGAATGTACAAAATCGGCAACCCTATTTTTGAAGTGCAATACCATTTGGGTGCATGGGCTTCTTCCAGTGTATGAAAATAACGTCTTCGTGATCACTTGCTCTGGCCCATCTGGGGGCCGTGACTCCTTGCGGCACAGCCTCTCCTGTGCTGACTCGAACAGATGGGCTGAATCCTCGCCCGAAGCTGTTCCATGCAGAAACCCTGTATTCATACGTGGTGCTGGCCTCAAGTTCTGTGTCTGCAAAGACAGAAATCAGTCTCTGAGGGATTACTTTTTATTTAAACCATCATACTAAAAATTAAGGTCAAAGTCATTTTAAATCTAATTTTTCTCTCTCTCCTTCTTTGTGTGTGTGCACAGGTACTGGTACCTGTGAGTTTGAGGACAGAGTGGTGTATAAAATGAGTCCAGGATAGGCAAGGCTACACAGAGAAAACCTGCCTTGAAAAACCAAACCAAAACAAAAACCAATAATGACAAACACCCAAACCCCAAAAAACTTCCTAACACAAAACATACAGGACATTATTAAAAGAATAATAGGAATAGAAGAAGAAACTCAGCTTAAGAACCCAGAAAATATATTTAACAAAATCATATAAGAGAAAATTTCTAACCTAAAGAAGGACATGCTTATAAAGCTACAAGAAGATTACAGAATACCAAATAGAGTAGACCAGGAAAGAAAGTCCTGGCACCACATAATTATCAAAACACTCCTGATGAGACGAAATTGACTAGGATCAGAAGGAAGGAAAAGAAGACATCCCCTATCAGTGGACTTGGGGAGGGGCATGCATGCAGAGGGTGGAGGAAGGGAGGGATTGGGATGGGAGGAGGGAGGGAAACACAGGGGGGATACAAAGTGAATAAAGTGTAATTAATAAAGAATTAAAAAAAACACTAAATACACAGAACAAAGAAAGAATATTAAAAGCTGCAAGGGATCTGGGAATGGTGACTCATGCCTTTAATCCCAGCACTTGGGAGGCAGAGGCAGGTGAATCTCTACAAGTCTGAGGGCAAAACCATGCCTACAAAATAAGTCCAGGATAGCCAAGGCTCTGTTACACAGAGATACAGAGAAACCCTGTCTCAACACAATAACAACAACAAAACAAGCCAAAAACAAACAAACAAACAAACAAACAAACAAAAAAGCTGAAAGGGCAAAAGGCCAAGTAACAAGACTTATTACATCTCATTTCTCAACAAAGACTCTAAAGGACAGAAGGGCCTGGACAGATGTCTTGCAGACTCTAAGAGACCATGGATTCCAGCCCAGACTTACACCCAGCAAAACTTTAAATCACCATAGATGGAAAAAACAAGATACTTCATAACAGAGTCAAATTTAAACAATATCTATCCACAGATCCAGCCCTATATAAAGTAATAGAAAGAAAACACCAATCCAAGGAACCTAACTACACCCATGAAAACATAGGCAATAAATGATCTCACAGCAAGAAAATCTAAAGAAGGGAAAAACGTACACACTACCACCCCTACCACTAACTACAATGAAAAAACATTAAGAATTAACAATCATTGGTTATTAATATCTCAGAACATCAATGGACTCAATTCCCCAGTAAAAGGACACACGCTACAGAATGGATACAAATACAGGATTCATCTTTCTGCTGCATACAAGAAACATGCCTCAATATTAAAGATAGACATTACTTCAGATTAAAGGTTGGAAAAAGAGTTTTAAGTAAATGGATCCAACCAGGAGGTTGGTGTAGCTATTCTAATATCTAACAAAATAGATTTCAAACCAAAAGTAAAAAAAAGATGGAGAAGGACATTTCATACTCATCAAAAGAAAAAAATCCAGATGACATTTAAATTCTTAACATCTATGGCACAAATTCAAGGGCACCCACATTTGTAAAAGAAACATTACTAAAGCTTAAATCACACATTGAACCTTACACATCAATAATGGGAGACTTCAATACCCCATTCTCACCAAAGGACAGGTTATCCGGACAAAAACTAAACAGAAAATAATAGAGCTAACAGATGTTATGACTCAAATAGACCTAACAGATACATACGAAATATTTCAGCCAAACATATATATATATATATATATATATATATATATATATATATATATATATATATATATATATATATATATATATATATATATATATATATATATATATACCTTTCTCTCAGAACCTCATGGAAAATTCTCAAAATTAACCACATACTTAGTCACAAAGCAAGTCTCAACAGACACAAGAAAATTGAAATAATCCCCTATATCCTGTCAGACCACTGTGGATTGAAGCTGACTTCAATAACAACAACAGACAACAGAAAGCCTACAAACTCATGGAAACTGAACAACCCTCTATGAATGACTTCAGGGTCACAGCAGCAATAAAGGAAGAAATTAAAGGCTTCTTAGATTACATGAAAATGAATGCACAACATATGCAAAATTGTGGGACACAATGAAAAGATGCTAAGTTCATAGCGCTAAATTCATAGCACTAAGTGCCTCCATAAAGAGAGTAGTGAGATCTCATACTAGCGACTTAACCACACATCTGAAAGCTCTAGCACAAAAAGAAGCAAACACACCCAACCGGAGTAGATGGCAGGAAATAAACAAACCCAGGGCTGAATCAATAAAATAGAAACAAAGTGAGCAATACAATGAAACAAAGAGTTTGTTCTTTGAGAAAGTCAATAAGATAGACAAACTCTCAGCCAAACTAACTAAAAGGCAGAGAGAGAATCTAAATTAACAAATCAGATACAAAAAGAAGACATAACAGATATGAAGGAAGTCCAAAGAATCATTAGGTCATACTTTGAAGACCTGTGCTCCACAAAATGGAAAATCTAAAAGAAATGAGATACCACTTAGCAAAGTTATATCACAATCAGATAAACAATTTCCCCAGGGAAATGGAAGCAGTTATTAGAAGTCTCCTAACAACAACAAAAAAGTCCAAGGCCAGATGATTTTAACACAGAATTTTACCAGACTTTCAAAGAAGACCTAATACCAATACTCCTCAAATTATTCCGCAAAATAGAAACAGAAGCAACATTGTCAAATCCATTTTATGAGGTCACAGTTACCCTGATATCTAAAGTACACAAAGTTTCAATAAAAAAGAGAATTACAGACCAGTTTTCCTCATGAACATTGATGCAAAAAGATTCAATAAAATATTCACAATCAGAATCTAAAACACATCAAAAAGATCATTCACCATGATCAAGTAGTATTCATTCCAGAGATGCAGGGATGGTCCAACATACAAAAATCTGTCAATGTAATTTACATGATAATCTCATTAGATGCTGAAAAAGCCTTTGACAAAATCCAACACCTCTTCATGATAAAAGTCTTAGAGAAATCAGGGATACAGGGACATACCTAAACATAATAAAGGCAATATACAACAATCCAATAGGCAACATCAAAGTAAATGGGGAGAAACTCAAAGCAATTCCACTAAAATCAGGGACAAGATAAGGCTGCCCTCTCTCTCTCCATATCTATTCAGCATAGTACTTGAAGTTCTAGCTAGAGCAACAAGACAAACAATGGAGATTACGGGATTACAAATTGGAAAAGAAGAAGTCAAATTTTTGCTATTTGCAGATGATATGATAGTATACATAAACATCCCCCAAATTCTTTCAGGGGAACTCTTTCAGCTGAGTGGCTACATACAAGATTAAGTAAAAGAAAAACAAAAACAAAAAACCCAGTAGCCCTCCCATACACAATGGCAAAGTGTTGAAGAAGAAATCAGGGAAATAACCTTCCCAACAGTCACTAATAATATAAAATATCTAGCAGCAATTCTAAGTAAAGCAAGTGAAAGACCTGTATAATAAAACTTCAAGTCTTTGAATAAGGAAATTTAAGAATATGACAGAAGATGAAAAGATCTCCAGCTCATGGATCAGTATAATCAACATAGTAAAAATGGCCATCCTACCAAAATCAACTTATAGATTCAATGAAATCCCCATCAAAATTCCAACACAATTCTTTACAGACTTTGAAAGAACAATACTCAGCTTGAGATGGAAAAACAAAAAGCCCAGGACGGCTAAGACAATCCTGCACGATAGGAGAACTTCTGGAGGTCTCGCCACCCCTGACCTCAAGCTGCACTACACTGGCATAAAGGCACAGCGATCAGTGGAACCCAGCTGAACACCCAGACATAAATCTACACATCTCCAGACACCCGGTTTTCGATAAAGAAGCCAGAAATAGACAAAAAAAAAAGGCAGCCTCTTCACAAAATTGTTCTGGCGTCATGACATGTTAGTATGAAGAGCGCAAATAGACCCATATTTGTCACCCTGCAGAAAAGTCATGTCCAAGCGGGTCAAAGACCTCAACATAAAACCAGACACATTGAACCTGACAGGAGAAAAAGTGGGGAATAGGCTTGCATGCACTGGTACAAGAGACAACTTCCTGAACACCAACAGCCTAGGCACTACGATCAGCAGTTGATCAATGGGACCTCACCATACTGAAACACTTCTATAAAGCAAAGGAAATCATCATAGAGAACAAAATGGCAGCATACAGAAGAATAAAAGATTGTCACCAGTTCTACATCTGGCAGAGGGCTAATATCCAAAATAGATAGAGAACTCAAGAACATTGATACAGACACACACAGACACACACACAGAGAAAGAGGGAGAGGGAGAGGGAGGAGATCAGTAAATCCAGGCAATTAATGGCTGCACTGAAAGGAAGCCATTAAAGCAGCCTCCCGATGGGTGATCCCTAAATGGATACAGTGAACAGTAAACACACTCATCAGTCTGTGCTTAACAATTTTTATAAACAAGCAAAGTTTGTGGTTACAGCAGGAGGATCTTAAGCTCAGGGTCAACTCAGGCTATGCAGGAAGTTCAAGGCCAGCCCTGGCAATTGGGTGAAACTGTTTCAAAACAAGTAAATGAGAAGTGGTGTGGACACGTAGCGGGACCGTGCTTGTCAAGGCTGGGAAAGTGGCTGGACTGTACCCTAGCACTGCCTTCAGTAAGAAGTTTGCTCCTCATGTTCAATTGATAGCATTTTCCGGCAGGCAAAGCAATCTGGAGTGTAGGCTTTAAAAGCCCTTATAAAGTCACATCAGTAGCACATCTATTTATTTCAGAAGAAGGCTCCTGCAAGGATGTTTTGAGAGCCCTTCAAAATCTTGCCTTGATTGCAGGTGGCAGATAAAAGCAGGGCATTCTCTGGGATGGAAACCTAATCATTTAAGAATGAGGGTCCACGGGTGTGATATTTACCTGACAGCAGGGGATGGGAAGGCCGGGCAAACTGTGGACAGCCTCGAAGCCGCTCCTAATGTCATTTTACTTATTCATTTACTATGTATTTTTTGTTTATGAACAGTGTGTTAAGCCCCAGCATGTTATCTATAGGAACATTTCAGGCTATTGGGAAAAATGGGATCAGTGTCCAGATGGAGTGCCATGCGGGTCGAGGGGTGGGCTTTCTAAGCCAGGCGCTGCAGGGACGGAAGGGCTCCTGGCTGACCCGGAAGCCTTGACCAAAGCTTGTGATGTGGGCTGGAGCAGGATGGTGAAGGGCTGCAGAAGGGGCAGCGGCACTCGAGGGGGGTCCACGGGCCGTGGAGGAAGCTTCCAGCACTCATCCTTCTGACGGTATCACGGGTGGATGGTCCGCATCCCACGGCAAGCTCCTTTTCTGCATCTGACCCTCAGTTCCCTCGCTTCCTGCGGTCACACTAGGTGCTTGCCTCGGGAGGATGCAGGCGTGCTGGACTACCGAGCACAGCACTGGGAGTCCATGCTGGTCGGTATTCATCACCTCTGCTCCTCCCTAAGCTTCCTCGTCTCCTCTGGCACCCCGCCTGGAACTTTCCATTCCTGAGCTTTGACATCCTCCCCTCTTGTGGGTAAGTAAGCCACGGTGATGGTTCATGTTGAATACAGCAGGGCTTTGTTTATTTAACTAGGGTGTGAATAAATTATGTAACTTAAACAGACTCTTTCTCTGGCTCTATGTATATCACACACATCTTTTTTTGCTCAAAACCAAGCATATTCTGTAAGGACTTCTGTAAACATTCAAATAGTAAAAATGTGATAAAGAGCAGGGCTATTTAGAAATAATCTTTAACTCTACAGAGCTTCTCACCCAGCTGGGCCAGTGCTGAGTGCTAAGTACTCCCATGTTAGACTAATCCGGAAGCGCAAAGGGGTGCTTGGAAGTTAGTGTCTCAGTGGCTGTGAGGATTACTGTTCTGAGGATGACCGGCCATCTTGGGGACAGCTCCCCAGGTGTTTCCCTTCCTTGGAGCAATGCTCTTAGGTCTCATGAGGAGCCTGACAGGCTTTGCCATCCTTCCTGCCTCCGAACATAGCACTATCCATCCAATGCCCTCACTGGAAGGTGCCTTACAACTTTGAGAATGAAAACTGTCACTCAATGGAATATGCTGGCAAGGCACAAAAAGCTTATTTATTTTTTGTTCTTTAATTCTCTTTCCATTTAATTTAAAATAGTATATATCCTTGCTGAAGGACAGACGTAACATTTTAAATAACTGACTTTGAATGCGTCCAGATGATGTAATTGATTACCGTGCAACAAGCAGGCCTAAAACTATGATGGAATTGATTGACATTGATTGACGTGAAGGAGACTGTCTGAGAGAAATGGAGTCAGCAGCAGCAGTCTTTTACTGGGCCCACAGCATGGGCAGAGGGCTCAGCATCCCTTACCTATGAAAGAGCGCATGCTTACATCTCCGGAATGAACTACTTCCTCTGCTGCAGAACACATTCCTTCCTCTGCTGCCTTCCCCGGGGGACTGAGAGGCCCTCTTGTCACAATGCACGCATGGGTGGTGGCATTGAAGTCACACCGGCCACAGTGTGCTGTGGCTTCCATGGATGCTGGGCAGACAGTCGCGCATGCTCTGGTTTCCTGTTGGGGGAAGGGACAAGAGGGTTTGTGAACCTCCTTCAGCCATGTAGAATGCATTTCCTTATTATTTAAGTGAGCTATTTTACTCTTATGATAAATGAACATTGTAAGACACATAAAAGAAAATGGTTTTGTTGCTTTCCTTGTGGAGTTCCTGTCCTCTCCAGATCTTACTATTTCCCACTTCTTACATAAGATTCCATGTACTCTGCCCAACAGTTGGCCATAAGTCTCAGCATCTGCTTTGATAGTCTGCAGGGCAGAGCCTTTTAGATGCCCTCTGTGGCAGGTTCCCAGCCTATTTTCTGTTTTCTTCCTCCTCTGATGTCCTTCCTCTTTGCCTTTTGGGATGGGGATTGAGCATTTTAGTCAGGGTCTTCTCTTGCTTAGTTTCTTTAGATGTATAGATTTCAGTAGGTTCATGCTATATTACATGTCTATATGAGTGAGTATATACCGTGTGTGTCTTTATTTGAACACAGGGGTCTTCCCAGAGACTCATACTCCAACCAAGTACCATGCGTGGAGATAACCTAGAACCCCTGCACAGATGTAGCCCATGGCAGTTTAGTGTCTAAGTGGGTTACACAGTAATGGGAAGAGGGACTGCCTCTAACATAATCTGATTGGCCTGCTCTTTGATCACCTCCCCCTGAGTGAGATGCAGCCTTACCAGGCCACAGAAGATGACAATGCAGCCACTCCTGATGAGATTTGATAAACTAAGATCAGAAGAGAGGGGGACCTCCCCTATCAGTGGACTTGGGGAGGGGCATTCATGAAGAAGGAAGAGGGAGGGTGGGCTCGGAAGGGGAGGAGGGTGGGGCTTATGGGGGGATACAAAGTGAATAAAGTGTAATTAATAAAAAAAGAAAAAGAAAATAAAAAAAGAAATGGTTTATATACCAGAAAGAGCAGAGACTTTGAAAGACCATAGGTTTGAAAGACCATTATAATTTCAGTTTCCTATCTTCCTACCTCTGGGAACTTGGGCACCACATACTCTCAAATCTGCACAAGTGCATGACATGGAATCTGAATTCACCAGGAAGATTTGTTGTGTGAATCTAATCACCAGCACCAGAGCTGGCCTGAGCTCAGAGCATATGTGACAAATAGAAACTGTAGTTTTTGTTATGAACTCTGCTGCTTTCATATGGTATTTTGGAGAAAATACAGGATGGGGTTTCTGAGAATCTGCACTTCTGTGCTTTAAGGAAGCTTGACGCTGGGGACAGCAAGATGGTTTAGTGCATAAAGTGCCTGATGCCATGCTGGAGATCTGAGGCCAATCCCTGGGTCCTGCCCAGGAAAAGGAGAGAACCAGCCATGCAGTGTCCTCTGGCATCTACACATTCCCTCAGGCTTCCCCTGGCACAAAGTGCCCCTGACCTCAAGACACAAATACACAAATAACAAATTTTAAAAATACCCAAGGTAGAATCTCAATACATAGTTTGAGAAATGCTAAATACTACGTATTGTTGTTATAATTATTTACACTTGTTGTATCTTTTCCCCGAGTAATCTCTATATTTTTTATACATACTGGTGATGGTTTTAATCTGAGGAAATTAAGTGTTTAATGACTTTTAATTAAAGGAGCTATGGAGAAGGTAATAGTCATATAAGACACAGATCTACATGTATTCCTGTATATAAGTAATAAATGGGTTTTAGATGGTTTTAATATTAAAATTTCATTTTTAAAAATCTTCTTCCTTTCATGGAAGGTTAAATTATTCTCTCCATGTTCATCAAAATAACATTTCTTCAGAAAATCATGGTGGAAATTCTGCTAAAAAGGGGCAAAGTGAACACATGTTTATCTTTCTGTCCATTAAAGTCTATCCAAATGACAGTAAAAGAATAGATTACATGTAAAAAATAAAAAGCCTAAGGAGGTAGGCAGGAAATAACACACAGGGCATTTCAACTATTTGTCAGCATTAGAAAGTGGCTGCCTGGGACAAAGGCAGGAGCCGTGTCAGACAGAGCCACTTCCTGCTTTCCCCCTGAAGACACGGGTTTCCAGGCCTCCATGTAAGACTCCAGTCAAGTCTTCGCTTCCCCTCCCACTGTGATCCTGCAGCCATTTGCGAAAGTGCCGAAAGGTAAGACTGCCTCCTAAGATGCTGCTTGGAAGGGAGCTGCCTGGCTGATATTGGATGTGATATGAAAATTTACAACAAACAAACCAAACCAAGCCAACCAACCTACCAACCCAAAACCAAAACCAACCAACCAAAAAAACAACTGTGGAAAGGGTGGAGCTGAAGTATTTCTATATGCTGCTCCCACTCACGAAAATGTGAAAACAGGAAGAAACTGCCATTTTTGTGAAGTTATACACATACTAAATTGTTTGGTGATCGCTTTATGATGCATACATATAAGTGAAGCTACACACACATACACACACACACACACCCCAATTACATCTCAATAAAGCTGAAAGTCATTCCATAGAGTTATCACTTACACGAACTTTGGTTTTATTTTAGCATAGTTGACTTAAGCAACACAGTAAGTCCATTTAGCGGCTCATGTTCATGAAGTAAGGTAATGAGAACACATATTCCATGAGGAAATGGACTGATGAATGCTGGTACTCAGCTCTCTTTCTCTGCCCATCTCACAGAACAGCACTGCCTACCCCAGAGTGACTGTTCTATCCTCAGTCATTTCCTTCAGAAAACACATTCATAGACACACCCAGAGGTGGGATTCCAGGTAACTCTACATCACAGGAGGCTGCTGACTGAGATGAACATTACAGTCGGCAGCTACAGCACCCAGGCCCGGGAGGACAGTTCTTGGGCTTGGAGCACACACTCGTAGCCCTGCACTCATCTGAAGTGCTGGGCAGAGCTTCCCCGGGAACAGCTAATCATTAGGAATTCCTTTAGAATTCATCCCACTAGCATCAATCACGACAAACTCATTCTGTATTAATATGGATAGAATGCAAAAATGAATAATGCACACACAGGTTTTTATATTCCTATTTTAGAAAAATAGTTATGAACAATGTATTTCTCTTTCCATCGCCAAAGCAGCACCTCCAGCAGGCTTTCTATCAATTACCTTCATCGCCATTCCAGTTGAAATCTCATCAGAACAAACATATTTCAAAGGATTGTACCCAACTCCATTACAGCATCCCTGGCTGTCTGGAATAAGTTCAGTGTCGCAGCATTTTACTGGCACCGGGTCATTCTGTTTAGCGTGTGCCTTAGACTCTCCACTGGAAGCTGAGCAGCATATGGTATCTGACATATTCACATAATCCTGCCCACAACACAGCATTCCTGCAATGATAAAACGTTATATATGAATATCAAATAAAAAAGAGGAAAGAAAACTGAGGCAGCTGTAAAGCTCGGTATAAAAACGTCAGAGTGGGGCAGTTTCAGTGAAGGAGCCACAGTAAAGGTAACGTTTCCCCACCAAGGTGATTTAGATGCGCAGTGAGGGTCCCTCTTACCGAGAGTGCCAGGCACTCATTAGGAAAAGAACACACAAGAGGAGCCGTTAGGAAATCAGCCTGGCCAGTCTGCCCGAGCCCCATTAAAAAGAAAGATCGGGTTTCTGTCAAAACTGCCTGCCCCCTTTGTGATGATAACATCATGGTGCTCAAGTAGGTTAGCCACGCTCAAAGTCCTAGAGGGAAAGCTCTGGAGATTCTCGAGGGAGAGTGGGCACGAAGTGACTCGCCATCAGCAGTCCTCGGGAAGAGCTGTAAAGCCCCGCCTATCTTTGTCTGGGGTGCAGTATTTGCCTCTGGTGGGGTCTGAAACAGCCATAGTCTTCCTTTTTCCCAGAATTAGCCTGGGCGTGTACAACCAGGCCGTGGAGATGGCTCAGTTGGCAGAGACCTTGCCCATGCTTGGTCTCCACATCTGTACCCATAAACCAGATGGCAGTACACTCCCATGAGGTCAACATCACGGGGAGGGGGCAGAGAGATCAGAAGTACAGAGTTATTTTCAGTGATGTGGTAAGTGCAAGAGCATCTTGGGGTTCTGGGATTCAGGAGACCATGTCTAAGAGGATGACAACAACAACCGGTTAAAAGTCTTCCACAGCTGTAACTCACAGCGGGGGGGTTGGGGGGGGAAGAAATACTGTGTGTAACACTGTGACCACAACTGGCCGAGATGCCAAGAGTTAGAGGCCAAGGGATGCTCAGCCCTAAATGGAGTATGTGCCACATGTCCTCCAAGGCTCAGGGACTGTTGTGCAATGAGGGCTGGAAAGCTTGTAGGACTGGAGGTGACTGTGCAAAGAAGCACTGTCTCCTGAGCCCCGGGGCAGCGGATCGCGGTGGCCCTGGTTAGGATACCACACACCATCTTCGTGCAAGGCTGCCACCCCAAGCCCCGGGCTGGAGCCGGGCAGAAGGTCTCCCACGGTCTGAGGGGCTGAGGGAAACCGTTAGCTGCCGGGGGTGCTGCGGGCAGGTGTGTGCTGAGACTGTGAACCCTGGTAGGTGGACCACTCTCCAGGGGCGGGCCAGGCGTGCGGGGATACATTTAGGAAGAACAAGTTGGCCCTGAAGGGTTTACAAAGACAAAAAGAAAAAAAGGACACAAAATTGGGTGGGTAGAGGAGATCTGGAAGAATTTGTGTGTGTGTGTGTGTGTGTGTGAACATGATCAAAACCCATTGTGCAAAATTCTCAACAAACTAATCAAAAAGCACCACACACCCAGCACACACCATACATGCCATACACCCCACACCCACACCACAGCACACACGTGAGTGGGTGACACACACAGGCAGGCACGCACACACGCATGCACTCACACACATGCACACACACACTGCAGACAAACTTGTGGAGCCATTTGCGGTCATTGGAAAGCAGCAGCAGGGCATCTGGCCACGGTATCCTGAGTCTCCCGCAGCTCTGGCTCTGTCACGCGGCCCTGGCTGTAAGGCTGAGTCCCGTGTCTGAGGAGAGACATCCCTGCCTGAAGGACCAACAGCCTTCCCCCCTGACCACATGCCCTGAGTTTATCGCCACAGAAGAAACCTGGCATAAATTTAGACATAAAGGCGCTGGTTAAGCAAACATTGCTCTGGGGCCGGATTATGCCGGAAATGAAGGTGTCTGGATGGCATGTCACCATGCTGTCTTATTAGCATCTGCATCTGGCCGCTCAGCACCGCAACCTGATGAATGATTCATTTTAATTAGAGTTCTGTTTGTTTATTATTAGTCCTGACTGATATCTCAAAGAACTTCAAATTCCAAGTGTTCTGGGGTCCTGAATTGTTTAATCTGGTCCTGTACAAACACCCATATTAGGAACAGCACTCTTAATAACAGACCAAAGTTTTTTTTTTTTTTTTTTTTTTTTTTTTTAATCATTCAGTAGACCTCAGTGCGGGGGATGCCTTAAAGACAGATGCTGCTCAGCCAGGGCTCTGAAGAACCGTCACACTGCTGTTTATACTTCAGAAAGATTAAAATATTTTTAAAAAGCATGTATGTGTAATAACAGATACTGATCATTACAGCATTTTGATATATCACGCTGACCTAAATGTGAAAACTCTTCAAAGTAATTTGAAGTAAACTATGACGTTAATAATTTTTATTACCCTTCCCAAGGCGTATTCTCTAAAATAAATATGCACAGCGGGTTCTCATTGCAGAACGAGTCTTAATTATGAGGGTAAAGACAGGTATAGTCATGCAAAATGCCTGCTTCTGTAAGTATACACAGACATGACAGAGAACTCGACGGGCTTAAGTTCTGTTTGGTCTGGACATTGTTTTTCTTCTGCCTTTGTATAAAACATTTAAATACAACCTTGGATTCTTGACTGTCACTTTTTTCTCTAGCAATTTCCTTAAAACTAGTTCTGTTTCCATTTTAAAGAGCAATCGAAACCTGAAAACTGGCCTTTTAGGGAGGAGAATACATTTTTCCCTTCCATTCTCAAATTACTGCATGGCTTCACCATGCTTTAAGTATGAAATCAAAATGCAGACATTGACCTAATTCGAAACTCCTAATCAGTCATCGCATCGCTCTGAGGGACTTCTGACAGGTCAACTAAAATTTTGATAATGAACTGTTTTTATATGACGGGAAGAGCAAAAAAAAAAAATGCTTTCTTTGACAAAGGGCTTCATTTCGTCTTGGCTTTTCTGAATTTTCAGGCAAGACTTCACTCACACAACAGGAAGTGACTCCCTTTCCAGTTTCCTTGGTAAACCATTACTTCTTTAATTATTATCAACCTTGTTCCAGTGTGATAAATTGCTAATTACTTAATACTCTAATCAGCGTTCATTCTTTGCACAGATAAACCATGACAGTGCCATTAATTTAAATAGTAATTTCACTTAATGGCCAGAACGGCACAGCAGATTTTTATGCAGCATTTTCTGAAGACTGCATCCATCACTGTGATATTCTGACATAAAGATGTCTGACGCGCACTAACTCACTTAGGGAGAGCAGATGTTGCAGAGCTGGGCCTGGTCGTAATACCCATGGTGCACCACTTCAATGTGGATGAGCTGGGGATCCAGGGGTGGACCAGCTCCTGAAAGGATGGCAACAGCCTTTGACCCCGGCCTAATTTATCACACACAGCACTTGACTTTTGAACTTTGACACGCAGAAGTCACAATTTTAAACATGCCCAAAGAAAAACCAAAACAGGCCGCACATTATTGATGGCCTGGTCCCTTCTTCCAAAGGCGCTTCATTACGTTTGTATGAATGCGTCTGAATAAGACACAGATGTTATCAAGAGGTACATGAGTAGGTGTTTATATTTCAGGTCCGCCAGTGTGCACAGTCTTTTGCATCAGACAGAGAGTCGATGGGTGGCTTCTGTTCTATTGTAGACAGTGGAGAGAAGAACAAGAAGAAGCTTGCAATAAAATTACCGTGTATGTACCGGCATTTATTTAATGTCCAGGACTATGATGAAATATTTATCAACACATCTGTCCGGTGATTGGTGAATAGTTTAAGTCTAGAAAAGAAGCTTTATTCCCCTAAAGACAACTAAGAAATAAACACTATGTCTCCGAGGCAGAAACAGTAAAGTAGTGAAAATCAGTTCTGGGTAAGAAAACTCATAAACCCTGGGCTTTACCAGGGACCATCATATTTTAGGACAAGAGGTTCTTTAGTTCAGGCACAGAAGAGAGAAGAAGCTATTTCAGTTAGCGTCCTCAGAACAAACCTAAAAAATTAGGGGCAGAGCACTGAAAAAAAAAAAAAGAAAGAAAAAAAGAAAAGAGTCTTGCTTGTGATAACCAGTAGATGGCGCTATGGCCACCATCGCAAAACTGAGGAAGACAGTAGAGATAGCCCCCCAAAACCACTGCCATACATTTTAGAACATGTATATACTGTATTGTTCAAAAGACTCTCATGGTTGTCTGGAGACATTTGGGGAGAAATCTCTCCCCGTTAGCTCTTGTACCACAGACTCCTATAACTACTCCCTCAACCCCCTTTGTGCAAAACTTGGAAATTTCATCCTAGAAGAAAATGTTCATTTTTCTGGTGGTCCTCATTGATCTTTCTCAAGGCAGAGTCTAAGGCATGTATACACAGAATTGTGTTATGAAATAATTTCAGGAGCATTTCCTAGCAAAGACTGCGTGAGCCTGATTTAAAATATATATAAGGAAAAATAACCTAAAGGCGGGGAATGAGCCTGTTCATGGCTAACAGAAAATCTCTGCTCTCTCTGAATGATAGAGAAGGTTTTAATTTTGTCTTTTAATGTTAAGGAATACATCAAGTCCAAGCCAAGATTAACAACATACGTGATAAAACGATATACGCAAAACACTAAGGGGGAAAAAAGTGTGTAATAAAGAGATTTAAAATACATCGGGAGAAAACGGTTAAGAACACATATCCACGGGAATGACTTTCATCCCAAGACACCTGTATAACCACCCTGCACATCTCATCCGCCCACTGAGAGCACTAAAAAACATAAACGCTGCCCCAGCACTTCTGCTCCTACAGCATCTGTTAATTCACTCCATTTATAAAATACATATTGACAAAGACAACCGGACTGGGACCAGGGAGATTTGATTTGGTGTGAGAAAGTCAATTCAATGTGATTTTGTTAAAGGGCTCCTGCAGGCAAATAAAAGAGTTTAAGTAATAAAGTACATAAAGAGATGTTTTACGAGCCAGGCCGGTGTCGTGGCTGGCTCACGGTGCCAGGCGGTGGGAGAGGCCAGGTTTCGGAACTGTGCTCTAAGATCCCAGCCTTGTCTGGACAGCGAGACCCTGGGAGGAAAGGCAGCAGA